CTCCCCAAAAACCCCCAGACCCGCCCAGGTCTGAGGGTATGGGGGGGGGGGGGCACTGGACTGCCCTGCCACCCCATATGGCCAATCAGTGTCACACAGGAAAGAGAAGGAGCTTGCACTGTCTCCAGTCTATGTCTCCTGCAGCATGTCCCCATTCTCCAACAACTCCTATAGCATGTCAGTAGTCCCTGTCCAAGAGATGGTAAGGGACTGTGGGCTTGCTACAAGAGATGATCAAAGTCCCAAGTCCCTGACCATCTCTTGTAGCATACCCATAGTCTCTGACCTTCTCTTGTAGCATACCCATAGCCTCTGACCTTCTCTTGTAGCATACCCATAGCCTCTGACCTTCTCTTGTAGCATACCCATAGCCTCTGACCTTCTCTTGTAGCATACCCATAGCCTCTGACCTTCTCTTGTAGCATACCCATAGCCTCTGACCTTCTCTTGTAGCATACCCATAGCCTCTGACCTTCTCTTGTAGCATACCCATAGCCTCTGACCTTCTCTTGTAGCATACCCATAGCCTCTGACCTTCTCTTGTAGCATACCCATAGCCTCTGACCTTCTCTTGTAGCATACCCATAGCCTCTGACCTTCTCTTGTAGCATACCCATAGCCTCTGACCTTCTCTTGTAGCATACCCATAGCCTCTGACCTTCTCTTGTAGCATACCCATAGCCTCTGACCTTCTCTTGTAGCATACCCATAGCCTCTGACCTTCTCTTGTAGCATACCCATAGCCTCTGACCTTCTCTTGTAGCATACCCATAGCCTCTGACCTTCTCTTGTAGCATACCCATAGCCTCTGACCTTCTCTTGTAGCATACCCATAGCCTCTGACCTTCTCTTGTAGCATACCCATAGCCTCTGACCTTCTCTTGTAGCATACCCATAGCCTCTGACCTTCTCTTGTAGCATACCCATAGCCTCTGACCTTCTCTTGTAGCATACCCATAGCCTCTGACCTTCTCTTGTAGCATACCCATAGCCTCTGACCTTCTCTTGTAGCATACCCATAGCCTCTGACCTTCTCTTGTAGCATACCCATAGCCTCTGACCTTCTCTTGTAGCATACCCATAGCCTCTGACCTTCTCTTGTAGCATACCCATAGCCTCTGACCTTCTCTTGTAGCATACCCATAGCCTCTGACCTTCTCTTGTAGCATACCCATAGCCTCTGACCTTCTCTTGTAGCATATTTATAGCCTCTGACCATCTTTTGTAGCGAGACCATAGCCTCTGACCATCTCTTGTAGCATGCCCATAGTCTCTGACCTTCTCTTGTAGCATACCTATAGTCTCTGACCTTCTCTTGTAGCATACCTATAGTCTCTGACCTTCTCTTGTAGCATACCTATAGTCTCTGACCTTCTCTTGTAGCATACCTATAGTCTCTGACCTTCTCTTGTAGCATACCTATAGTCTCTGACCTTCTCTTGTAGCATACCTATAGTCTCTGACCTTCTCTTGTAGCATACCTATAGTCTCTGACCTTCTCTTGTAGCATACCTATAGTCTCTGACCTTCTCTTGTAGCATACCTATAGTCTCTGACCTTCTCTTGTAGCATACCTATAGTCTCTGACCTTCTCTTGTAGCATACCTATAGTCTCTGACCTTCTCTTGTAGCATACCTATAGTCTCTGACCTTCTCTTGTAGCATACCTATAGTCTCTGACCTTCTCTTGTAGCATACCTATAGTCTCTGACCTTCTCTTGTAGCATACCTATAGTCTCTGACCTTCTCTTGTAGCATACCTATAGTCTCTGACCTTCTCTTGTAGCATACCTATAGTCTCTGACCTTCTCTTGTAGCATACCTATAGTCTCTGACCTTCTCTTGTAGCATACCTATAGTCTCTGACCTTCTCTTGTAGCATACCTATAGTCTCTGACCTTCTCTTGTAGCATACCTATAGTCTCTGACCTTCTCTTGTAGCATACCTATAGTCTCTGACCTTCTCTTGTAGCATACCTATAGTCTCTGACCTTCTCTTGTAGCATACCTATAGTCTCTGACCTTCTCTTGTAGCATACCTATAGTCTCTGACCTTCTCTTGTAGCATACCTATAGTCTCTGACCTTCTCTTGTAGCATACCTATAGTCTCTGACCTTCTCTTGTAGCATACCTATAGTCTCTGACCTTCTCTTGTAGCATACCTATAGTCTCTGACCTTCTCTTGTAGCATACCTATAGTCTCTGACCTTCTCTTGTAGCATACCTATAGTCTCTGACCTTCTCTTGTAGCATACCTATAGTCTCTGACCTTCTCTTGTAGCATACCTATAGTCTCTGACCTTCTCTTGTAGCATACCTATAGTCTCTGACCTTCTCTTGTAGCATACCTATAGTCTCTGACCTTCTCTTGTAGCATACCTATAGTCTCTGACCTTCTCTTGTAGCATACCTATAGTCTCTGACCTTCTCTTGTAGCATACCTATAGTCTCTGACCTTCTCTTGTAGCATACCTATAGTCTCTGACCTTCTCTTGTAGCATACCTATAGTCTCTGACCTTCTCTTGTAGCATACCTATAGTCTCTGACCTTCTCTTGTAGCATACCTATAGTCTCTGACCTTCTCTTGTAGCATACCTATAGTCTCTGACCTTCTCTTGTAGCATACCTATAGTCTCTGACCTTCTCTTGTAGCATACCTATAGTCTCTGACCTTCTCTTGTAGCATACCTATAGTCTCTGACCTTCTCTTGTAGCATACCTATAGTCTCTGACCTTCTCTTGTAGCATACCTATAGTCTCTGACCTTCTCTTGTAGCATACCTATAGTCTCTGACCTTCTCTTGTAGCATACCTATAGTCTCTGACCTTCTCTTGTAGCATACCTATAGTCTCTGACCTTCTCTTGTAGCATACCTATAGTCTCTGACCTTCTCTTGTAGCATACCTATAGTCTCTGACCTTCTCTTGTAGCATACCTATAGTCTCTGACCTTCTCTTGTAGCATACCTATAGTCTCTGACCTTCTCTTGTAGCATACCTATAGTCTCTGACCTTCTCTTGTAGCATACCTATAGTCTCTGACCTTCTCTTGTAGCATACCTATAGTCTCTGACCTTCTCTTGTAGCATACCTATAGTCTCTGACCTTCTCTTGTAGCATACCTATAGTCTCTGACCTTCTCTTGTAGCATACCTATAGTCTCTGACCTTCTCTTGTAGCATACCTATAGTCTCTGACCTTCTCTTGTAGCATACCTATAGTCTCTGACCTTCTCTTGTAGCATACCTATAGTCTCTGACCTTCTCTTGTAGCATACCTATAGTCTCTGACCTTCTCTTGTAGCATACCTATAGTCTCTGACCTTCTCTTGTAGCATACCTATAGTCTCTGACCTTCTCTTGTAGCATACCTATAGTCTCTGACCTTCTCTTGTAGCATACCTATAGTCTCTGACCTTCTCTTGTAGCATACCTATAGTCTCTGACCTTCTCTTGTAGCATACCTATAGTCTCTGACCTTCTCTTGTAGCATACCTATAGTCTCTGACCTTCTCTTGTAGCATACCTATAGTCTCTGACCTTCTCTTGTAGCATACCTATAGTCTCTGACCTTCTCTTGTAGCATACCTATAGTCTCTGACCTTCTCTTGTAGCATACCTATAGTCTCTGACCTTCTCTTGTAGCATACCTATAGTCTCTGACCTTCTCTTGTAGCATACCTATAGTCTCTGACCTTCTCTTGTAGCATACCTATAGTCTCTGACCTTCTCTTGTAGCATACCTATAGTCTCTGACCTTCTCTTGTAGCATACCTATAGTCTCTGACCTTCTCTTGTAGCATACCTATAGTCTCTGACCTTCTCTTGTAGCATACCTATAGTCTCTGACCTTCTCTTGTAGCATACCTATAGTCTCTGACCTTCTCTTGTAGCATACCTATAGTCTCTGACCTTCTCTTGTAGCATACCTATAGTCTCTGACCTTCTCTTGTAGCATACCTATAGTCTCTGACCTTCTCTTGTAGCATACCTATAGTCTCTGACCTTCTCTTGTAGCATACCTATAGTCTCTGACCTTCTCTTGTAGCATACCTATAGTCTCTGACCTTCTCTTGTAGCATACCTATAGTCTCTGACCTTCTCTTGTAGCATACCTATAGTCTCTGACCTTCTCTTGTAGCATACCTATAGTCTCTGACCTTCTCTTGTAGCATACCTATAGTCTCTGACCTTCTCTTGTAGCATACCTATAGTCTCTGACCTTCTCTTGTAGCATACCTATAGTCTCTGACCTTCTCTTGTAGCATACCTATAGTCTCTGACCTTCTCTTGTAGCATACCTATAGTCTCTGACCTTCTCTTGTAGCATACCTATAGTCTCTGACCTTCTCTTGTAGCATACCTATAGTCTCTGACCTTCTCTTGTAGCATACCTATAGTCTCTGACCTTCTCTTGTAGCATACCTATAGTCTCTGACCTTCTCTTGTAGCATACCTATAGTCTCTGACCTTCTCTTGTAGCATACCTATAGTCTCTGACCTTCTCTTGTAGCATACCTATAGTCTCTGACCTTCTCTTGTAGCATACCTATAGTCTCTGACCTTCTCTTGTAGCATACCTATAGTCTCTGACCTTCTCTTGTAGCATACCTATAGTCTCTGACCTTCTCTTGTAGCATACCTATAGTCTCTGACCTTCTCTTGTAGCATACCTATAGTCTCTGACCTTCTCTTGTAGCATACCTATAGTCTCTGACCTTCTCTTGTAGCATACCTATAGTCTCTGACCTTCTCTTGTAGCATACCTATAGTCTCTGACCTTCTCTTGTAGCATACCTATAGTCTCTGACCTTCTCTTGTAGCATACCTATAGTCTCTGACCTTCTCTTGTAGCATACCTATAGTCTCTGACCTTCTCTTGTAGCATACCTATAGTCTCTGACCTTCTCTTGTAGCATACCTATAGTCTCTGACCTTCTCTTGTAGCATACCTATAGTCTCTGACCTTCTCTTGTAGCATACCTATAGTCTCTGACCTTCTCTTGTAGCATACCTATAGTCTCTGACCTTCTCTTGTAGCATACCTATAGTCTCTGACCTTCTCTTGTAGCATACCTATAGTCTCTGACCTTCTCTTGTAGCATACCTATAGTCTCTGACCTTCTCTTGTAGCATACCTATAGTCTCTGACCTTCTCTTGTAGCATACCCATAGTCTCTGACCATCTCTTGTTGCGAGACCATAGCCTCTGACCATCTCTTGTGGCGAGACCATAGTCTCTGACCATCTCTTGCAGCGAGACCATAGTCTCTGACCACCTCTTGTAGCGAGACCATAGTCTGTGACCATCTCTTGTAGCGAGACCATAGTCTCTGACCATCTCTTGTAGCAAGCCCATAGTCTCCAATCATCTCTTGTAGCGGGACCATAGTCTCTGACCATCTCTTGTAGCAAGCCCATAGTCTCCAATCATCTCTTGTAGCGGGACCATAGTCTCTGACCATCTCTTGTAGCAAGCCCATAGTCTCCAATCATCTCTTGCAGCGGGACCATAGTCTCTGACCATCTCTTGTAGCGAGACCATAGTCTCCAATCATCTCCAGCTGCATATGTGCAGTCTCTGACAGCTTTCTGTAGCATTACATTTATTTAATATTCTGCGGTGTCCTTTCGGGATGTCAGGAGCCGCACCTGAGGGTTTTGGTGCATTATTCAATAAAAGAACCTGTTACCTTGCCTGGTGCGGGACAACAGGGGTGGAGGCAAAATAAGCGTTTGTGGATCACCTTACAGGCGTTGTGACAAAAAAAAGTGCATATAAAGACACTATATAAAAAAGGGATCAGATTTATTACCTGGGAGAAGGCTGCGGTGACGGCTTCCTCTGCTGGGCTGGACATTCGGCACACTAAATCCGTCCATAACTACAAACAGATAGGAAATGTCACCGGTACCAACATCACACATCAGTCTGCATAATGGTTGTTGGGGCTGTGACCAGGACCTTTCTTTTACCTCAATGGGCGCCGGGGTTTCGGCCTCCTGGGCCTTCCTTTCCTGTACCCATTCCTCATAAATGGTCTGGACGGCCTCCCGGGCAGCTCGGCCGCGCAACCAAGCGATATACGAGGACACCTGATGGAGGAAAGGACAGAGCCGCTAAATGAAGATTCACAAGCGCTAAATTAGGGGGAAGGTATGTCCTGCAGACCTAATCCAAGGTGATAAAGGGTGACACCGGTGCAGAATATACTCACCTAGTCCAGCGCTGTCATCACATAGTGGTCACCTCCTGCTCGTTAATTCATCAGCCATTACACCTGGCATACAGGACAAGAGAAGTGGCACTGTGCAGAGTCCATACATACAGAATAAGAACAGATACTGAGAATGACACCCGGCATACAGGACAAGAGAAGTGGCACTGTGCAGAGTCCATACATACAGAATAAGGACAGATACTGAGAATGACACCCGACATACAAGACAAGAGAAGTGCTACTGTGCATAGTCCATACATACAGAATAAGAACAGATACCGAGAATGACACCTGGCATACAGGACAAGAGAAGTGGTACTGTGCAGAGTCCATACATACAGAATAAGACCAGATACCGAGAATAACACCCGGTATACAGGACAAAGGAAGTGGTACTGTGCAGAGTCCATACATACAGAATAAGACCAGATACCGAGAATGTCACCCGGCATACAGGACAAGGGAAGAGGTACTGTGCAGAGTCCATACATACAGAATAAGACCAGATACCGAGAATGTCACCCGGCATACAGGACAAGGGAAGAGGTACTGTGCAGAGTCCATACATACAGAATAAGACCAGATACCGAGAATGTCACCCGGCATACAGGACAAGGGAAGAGGTACTGTGCAGAGTCCATACATACAGAATAAGAACAGATACTGAGAATAACACCTGGCATACAGGACAGGGTAGTGGTACTGTGCAAAGTCCATACATACAAAATAAGAACAGATACCGAGAATAACACCCGGCATACAGGACAAGGGAAGTGGTACTGTGCAGAGTCCATGCATACAGAATAAGAACAGATACTGAGAATAACACACGGCATACAGGACAGGGTAGTGGTACTATGCAGAGTCTATACATACAGAATAAGAACAGATACCGAGAATTCTCTAGAGACTAAAACAATGCCAACAGCTACTGACCTCCAACTGACTCCGCCCCTGGACAGGGGGGTCAGGGACTTTTTGGTCCATCTGGGCCTTAAGACCTCTCAGAAGCTCGACCTTTTCCCTGGTCGTCCATGCCAGGCGTATCGGGGCCGAACGCACAGGCTGAGTGTCCAACACCTCAAAGCGCACGGGGGCAGTGCGTCTGCGCACGGGCGGTTTCATTCTTCCGGACGGAGCCTGCCATAGAGAACAAAATGTTTCTTCCAAAGAAGAACTCCAGACAAAACATTGGGCATTCCCCTTAGAGTGGACCTACATAGGCCGTCACATAGCTGGGAACCTCTAAACTTTGGGGGCTCTATTAAGCAAATTCTAGAAAACTTGGGCCCGCCTCCTGCACGCTATTGGCTAAGAGTGGCCATCCCTCATCGTTCTGAACCAATAACATACGGAGTCTGAACCTTTCCCTAGGCCAGTCTAAATCTGTATAACGGAGCTCCCATGGTTCCCGATCTCCTCAACATTCCACAAGGTAGGTGAGTGGCATGCAGCACCCATAGGTGCCCCTTATCATACCCCTGAGACACCTTGGGAGGCTTATCTGACCCCAGACTCACTCTATAGGTGTATCTATACCGAAGAATGAAAATATATTGCAGTATACCAGTCCTCAGATGTGGCGGCTGCATTCGTTTTCTCTTTCAAGCTTTTCTTCCATTATTTTCCTCTGGTGATCCCCATCATACCAAGGGGTATGATGGGGTTAGCAGTTTTTTGTGTGAATGCTTCCAATTCGGCTCATATGGAGTGATAGGGACGCTGCAATTCTGGCGGGGTTTAGAGGTGTTTTCTAAAAATGTTCTCAGTAAGTGAAGCCTCTGGAGTCCAAATACAATACATAGTTCCTCTATATATATATATATATACACACAAAGAACCTATGACTCTGTGGGGCTCCCTGTATCCTAGCAACCAATGATGCCATGGGGCTGCCTGTGCCCTAGCAACCAATGAGGCTATTTGAATGCCTGTTTCCTAGCAACCAGTAATGCCATGGGGCTGTCTGTGTCCAAGCAACTAATAATGACTGGGTCTGCCCATGTTCTGACAACCAATGACTCTGTGGGGCTGCCTGTGTCCTCACAACCATAGATGTGTGGGGCTGCCTGTGTCCTATCAAACCAATAATGCTCCGTGGGCTAGTGTCATTGGTTGCTAGGATGCAGTCAGGTGCATCATAACAACCGAGGACGCTGTATGGCCCAGCCACCAATCAACCAATGACATTATGTGGGCTGACGCTCGTTGCTAGGACACAGACAAATTGTCTGTGTGGTGAATTGTGAACCCAAAGTTGTCAATAGAAATGGGGCGGCTCTGCAATGCCGGACTGGCTCTCTGTGTACAGACACTAAATCCTGATATAAGTTTCATAATATAATAATATATACTTCGGATGTTTTGGAACTTTCTGGAACTGGAACAAAAACTGCTCTTCACTGCACCTCGTACTACTACAGAGGCATGCTGGTACATGTAGTCCCACCTACAGCCACTTCCAGATACACATTTTCTGGTTCTATGTGGTCACGCTGGAACTTGTAGCCCCACAAAGAACCTCCCCCCAATAGGGCTCACTCCCCTATATCCTGCTCCCCCATTAACTGACACAGAGCCCTTGGGGGGCACAACTTACCCAGCATGCACTTCTTCCACGGCTACTCCCGCGACTGCCGCGTGCTTCCGTGTGGACGGCTTACCATGACGTCATGAAAGGGCAGGAAGCCTAGATAAGTGAGGGCGGAAGTTGAGGTGGAGCAACGGCTACAAGGCTCTCTCTTTAGGCTGCGTGGGTTGAAAATGAGAGTCTGCGAAGAAATCTGCGTGTAGGTCGCGGGGAATAAAGAGTAATTTCAGGCGAACAGAGGAATAAAAAGACCTGTGGCAGCGGTGGGATTCGAACCCACGCCTCCGAAGAGACTGGAGCCTTAATCCAGCGCCTTAGACCGCTCGGCCACGCTACCCGTAGTAATGGTGATGTGTGGGAACACTTATGTAGCTCGCATTATATGATGACATTACTTTTGCAGTCATTGGCTGCAGGTAATCTTGTGGTTGTACTTCTAAACATGCATAACAAAAATTGTTAAGAAGATCCGGTGTCATGTGGATTTCATGCATTTTCGGCTGCAGTAAATAAACAGGAAGCCAGTTTATAAAGGTCAAGCACAGTCAACTGGGCTGCGACTGGTGAATCATGAGGTGGATGTAGTCTAGCACTGGGGATATTTATAGGGTAAAAGCTTTGACATCCTGATTACTGTCCACTGAAGAATGTCCCCGGTCTCCATGAGCTTCTATAGCCCCGTTCACAGTCTCTGACCATCTCCTGTGCCATGCCTGCAGTCTCTGACCATCTCCTGTCCCCAGTCTCTGACCATCTCCTGTACCATGCCTGTAGTCTCTGATCATCTCCTGTAGTATGTCTGCAGTCTCTGACCATCTGCCGTAGTATGTCCCCAGTCTCTGACCATCTCCTGTACCATGCCTGCAGTCTCTGATCATCTCCCGTAGTATGTCCCCAGTCTCTGACCATCTCCTGTCCCCAGTCTCTGACCATCTCCTGTCCCCAGTCTCTGACCATCTCCTGTACCATGCCTGCAGTCTCTGATCATCTCATGCAGTATGTCCCCAGTCTCTGACCATCTCCTGTACCATGCCTGCAGTCTCTGATCATCTCCCGTAGTATGTCCCCAGTCTCTGACCGTCTCCTGTACCATGCCGGCAGTCTCTGACCATCTCCTGTCCCCAGTCTCTGACCGTCTCCTGTACCATGCCGGCAGTCTCTGACCATCTCCTGTCCCCAGTCTCTGACCGTCTCCTGTACCATGCCGGCAGTCTCTGACCATCTCCTGTCCCCAGTCTCTGACCGTCTCCTGTACCATGCCGGCAGTCTCTGACCATCTCCTGTAGTATGTCCCCAGTCTCTGATCATTTTGTCTGCTCCAGTGTTGATAAATTCCCCCCCAATCTATCTATATAGTAATACAGCAGATCTATACATGGATACACTGCCACTAAAGGGTGTGGCCACTGAGGGGCGCTGTAAAGCTTTCTCGCACAGGGCGCCTAAAGGCCTAAGGCCGGCCCTGACTGGGATACAATCCATCTCTACTGGGATACACTACATCTCTACTGGGATACACGACATCTCTACTGGGATACACTACATCTCTACTGGGATACATACATCTCTACTGGGATACATACATCTCTACTGGGATACATACATCTCTACTGGGATACACTACATCTCTACTGGGATACACTACATCTCTACTGGGATACACTACATCTCTACTGGGATACAATACATCTCTAAAAGGATACATCTATATAGTAGATCTAAATACAGAGATACATCTATACATCAGATCTATACTGGGATACAATACATCTCTACTGGGATACACTACATCTCTACTGGGATGCACTACATCTCTATGGGGATACATCTATATATCAGATATATACTGGGATACAATACATATCTATGGGGATACATGTATACATCCGATATATACAGGGATACAATACATCTCTATGGGGATACATCTATACATCCGATATATACAGGGATACAATACATCACTATGGGGATACATCTATACATCAGATATATACAGGGATACAATACATCTCTATGGAGATACATCTATACATCAGATATATACAGGGATACAATACATCTCTATGGGGATACATCTATACATCCGATATATACAAGGATACAATACATCTCTATGGGGATACATCTATACATCAGATATATACTGGGATACAATACATCTCTATGGGGATACATCTATACATCAGATCTATACAGGGATACAATACATCTCTATGGAGATACATCTATACATCAGATATATATACAGGGATACAATACATCACTATGGGGATACATGTATACATCAGATCTATACAGGGATACAATACATCTCTATGGGGATACATCTATACATCAGATCTATACAGGGATACAATACATCTCTATGGGGATACATCTATACATCCGATATATACAGGGATACAATACATCTCTATGGGGATACATCTATACATCAGATCTATATACAGGGATACGATATCTGGATACATTCCTCTGAACAATGGGCTCTCTGTATCAGTGAGATCTCGGCGATCATATTCGCTGTGACAGAGAATCTCTCCAATGATCTCAGCGCTGTGACGTGCTGTCTATGTAATGAGGTGTCAGTGGCAGAAGTCACATGGCTCGTTGGTCTAGGGGTATGATTCTCGCTTCGGGTGCGAGAGGTCCCGGGTTCAAATCCCGGACGAGCCCTGCTTTTGGTTGTGGTGACGTGCAGCTGATATTGTGTAATAAATATCTCAGATACAGCGCTGATCGATGTTCTGATCAGATTACTCTGTACACATTGCTGGATCACTGTGACATCGCGAGAAGTAGAAGTGCGCACCGCTGTCCTAGACTTTTATTTCAGTAAGAGTGCATGTGTTATAATAGACACAGATACATGGATTTGGAGAGGGGGAGCAGTTTTCCTGCTGCCCAGTGAAGTGCAGAACATAGGAAGAATCTATTGTTCTATTTGGCTGATTCACTAAGCCCCCGTTCACACTTGTGTAGCACAACATTGCACACAGTTCATGTGCGTCACGCGTGTAATGCGTGTCACGCATCGCGCACCCCGTTCATTTCAATCGGCTTCTCTACACTCAACAAATGTGGCAAAGAATCTCATGCACTTTTTTTCACTGCATGTCTTTTGTGTGTTTATGCGTGTGCAAAAAAGCACGCATCTTGCTTGGCGCGCTTTGGGTACCATTGACACTGCCAGGCATTGCAAGGTGAACGCTAGATTTTGTGCACGTTCCCACGCCAAACAAGTGTGAACGGGGGGGCTGGAGGATCCGGGTGTCTATGAATGAAGCAGTGGGCGCTGTGCTCTCAGCACTTCCTGCTTCAGGGCTATCAGAAGCCGGTGTTCTATCGAAATGGCCAACTGGTCAAGATCTCCAACTCGTTACATCACGTCCGCACTGATGGGAATTTGAGAACTTGAGGAGGATTACGAAACTGCTACAGCTGGCACACGCGCACTAGCGCCATCTCGTCGAAAATCTCCTATTACCACGTCACCGGACGTGACGTAAAAAGTTGGAGATCGCAACGAGTTGGCCATTTCGATAGAACACCAGCTGAAGTGCCGGTTGCGGTCAAGCACAATCCTGAGCCTGATCGTCTGTATTGAAGGGCAGGGGCGACATCAGGAGTCTAATGGACCCCTGACGTCTCTATAAAGAGAACCTGTCACCTGTAAAGGCTAACACATTAGGGCTTGTTAGCTCCCTGCGTGATAGCAATAAAGTTAAGTGTAAAAAAAAAATTTGCTTAAGTTTAAAAAAAATCAGATTAAATTTAAAAAATGTAATTTTGTAGCATATTTCCACATTCTCTTAATATTGCACGGCAGTCGCTTCTTCTGGCTGTACGCTCGCCTTTCTGGTCGGGGAGGACTGGTAGCACAGGGAGCGTGCACGCACTGTATCGGTCACATGACCACTCACATCAGCAGTGATTTGGAGCGCGCACTGAGCATGCGCGCTCCCGTGCCAAGTGCGCCCACACCAGCTTTGCGTAGCCCATCGCCCGCCTTAGATAAAGCATGCGTCAGGTTAGCTTCAACCTTCCTTTTTTGAAGAGTGTAGTCAGGGCCGGATTTCCCATAAGGCCCGGCCTCGGGGCAACAGGGAATAGAGGGGCAGCAGGGGAATTCCTATCTCCTGATGCCCGGGACATGCAGTTCCGGGCGCCGGACGGGTCGTTGTTTTCTACATTTAGCCCGGCTTTGGGCAAGCAGAGCTAAATGTACAGCGGGGAAGCCGCCGCTTGTTTTGTACAAGTGATCCCGGCGATGTCGCCGATCACTTGTATGCAGCCTGCAGGTCTGCCATTCTCCATGGGGGAGGGGGGGTGGCAGGTAGGGGGGCGCATTGAGGAGCCTGGCCTTGGGGCAGCAGAGACAGTAATCACATGACCACCATCACCCCTAGCGCCGTGAGAACAAGGCACATGCGTGACCGTCATGGGCTAGGGAGACCTAAGGGTGGCTCCATTAGACCCTGCTCAGCAGTGAAGCCTCCCTCATGACGCTAAGGCCCCATTCACACTGAGCGATTTATCGCGTGGTAATCCGCGCGATATCGCAAATATTTACCACGCGATATCGCTCTCCAATGCATCTCAATGGGGCTCTGTCCGTCGCTGTTGCGGGTCGTGCGTCGCTACAGCAGGACCCTTTTTGGAGCGGATTTTGCCGCGATTCCAGGTTGCTCAATGCAACCATTTGCGTGATATCGCGCGACAAACGCGCGATATCGCGCAAAATGCACATCGTGCGACAAATGCGCGATATCGCGCAAAATGCAAATTGCGCGACAAACACGCGATTTGCGAATCGCTCAGTGTGAATGGGGCCTAATGGAGTACACAGAGACCGCTGAGAACACGCCGCACACAGAGAGCAAACATGGTGGGTCCCATAGTATGCCGCTATATACCACATTATATATTCCGGGTTTATAAAATGATTGATATTGTTGTATTATTTTAGTAGTACATTTTTATTCGTATTATTTCACTTCACATACTCGGCACTGCACCATGATTATTGCCGGGGTTCTATCATTTTTCTGGACCTCGTAAGAACGCTGGACCGCGTCACCGCAGGTGTCAGAGGCGTGCTAGGCACAACGCTCCCCTTGTCCTCCTTCAGCCGCTGCGTTCACAAGCTCCTTGTCTCAATATTTCAGCAGCCCCCCCCCCCCGGCGGGTGGCCTGTAATATTCCTCGGTCGAGCAATTTTATGGGTCGAAAAAAATTATAGAACAATTGCACACGGCGTTGAGCCTAGTATGCCTCCAACAGCTGGTCCACCATTCTTATGAGGTGCTGAAAAATGATACAACACCGGCTATGAAGATTTTACCAAAGGTAACAATGTAGCCTTAGAAATAAGAATGCTGGTAGGATGACTCAGTGTGTCACGTTATCTATTACAATAGAAGGTTACTCTGGTTAAGTAGAAGACCTCGTGGCGCAACGGTAGCGCGTCTGACTCCAGATCAGAAGGTTGCGTGTTCAAATCACGTCGGGGTCAAATATTTTTGTCTATTACAGAAAGCTTGTATTTTTTCCCCAAAATCTGTGTTCACAGCATGACCGGTTACAGAGACAACCCAACAACCCGATACAATATTAAATCACAGGTTTTTGGGTTTTCTTTCCACTCAAACGCTATGCTGCTGTGTATGGTGAAAAAAGTGACCAAGTGTTACTATATAATCATGTGATATATATGTGTGACTTTATCACGGCTCGCGGTTATTATGACGTTAAACTGTTGATAATACAAACATATCATCGATGTAGACAAAACATTTGCGACGAGGGTGGGATTCGAACCCACGCGTGCAGAGCACAATGGATTAGCAGTCCATCGCCTTAACCACTCGGCCACCTCGTCTCTATAGCAATGCATGTTCTCCTCTACTACATGTCAGAACCAAAACAGCTCCGCGTGCACGCACAATTCCATGCATTGATTGGACGATATTACTGATCGCGAGTACGCTTTACCAACAGACAGTGGAGTGACCCCAGGTGTGACCTGGCAACCAAGACCGAGGGGGAGAATGCTGACGCGCCTTGAGTGGGCGTGTCCATGCAAATCAAAAAAACAGTTTGTCTCGCCGGCTTGCCATGAGATACAAATTGGATAAGTTTAGTTTCTTTTTCAAACGTATGTTATCCAGCTGCCGCTATTTTAATGTGTCCTCGTGTCAACTGGTGTTTCAACATAGAACTTTATTTAGAGAGAAAAAACAATCGCCATAAGTTGCAGCACATGTGTCTGAGGTGCGGTCCCAGGTTTGTTTTATTGAACGTTATCGTCAGTGAGGTTAATCCTTACCTGTTCCTCCTCAGGGAGAAACAGACATGATGAATGGAGGACGATGAGTGTGTGATTACACAAATCTCCCCCACCTCTCCGAAGCGACAATCGGAGTGCGTGGTATTCTGAGACTCATCACTGGCGATCATTTCATTGGTATAAAAATAGAGCAACTAAACTTTATGGATATCAAAGCATGGTAACAGTTCATGTAGAACTACAATTCACACCATGCATTGTGTCTGAAACTACGTCACTACTCTTTTTACTAATCACATAATTCTCGGCGCTGGGGTTTATCAGCCCGTGTTTTTACTGCAAAGTCACGTGATACTCGTAGACCAGCCGCAGACTTCACCATGAAAACCCAACGCAGTTTGCGTCCAACATAAACATGGCAGGCCTCCATTTCGCTGGCCAAAGAAAATGGCGGCCGTTCTTGATAGAACACCGGCTTTCCATTCGCATCGCCTGACTGCCCCCACCCTCCCGCTAATTGGATGCGGACCGCAGTGACGCGTTCCTGGCTAGCCAATCAAAAATCCTAGGTCTAGAAAGGGAGAAAGGCGGCTGGCCAATCAGAATCCTAGTCGGCTGAGCCAGATGTGGGACGGGCTACTCGGCAACGGGATTTAAACTGACGCCGACCAATAGAGGAGCGAGGCGGTAGCAGCTGCGTCCAATCAGAAAAGGGAAAGGCGGGTCAGGTGACCGGTGCGAGGCAGTGGCGGTTTAAATTTGAATGCGTAGAGGAGTTTGCGAGAGAAGCGGGTGGAAGGGTGATCGGGAGGAGGAGAGGGAGCGGAGGATAATATTCGGATCGTAGCCGGCGAACTTTTAGTCTTCCGCAGGATGTCCTACAAGGAGAACGTAAACCCCTTCTACAAGGTGCGTCCTCCTACAGAGCTGTGCGGGTGCCTCGGTCCCCCTATGGAGCTGTGCGGTATGCCTGGGTCCTCGTATAGGCCCCTGTTCACCTGGGCTGATGTAATGTGCGGTGTAGGAGCTCAACTCTCAGATGTCCATGTAATCCTAAAACTACACGAGGCCGCGTTGTACCGTGTTGTCCCATTCCAGTCTATGGGGTGTCATTGATCCATTCCAGTGAGTGGGGTGTCAGGAGCAGGCAGTATTGTACCATTCCAGTCTGTGGGGTGTCGGGAGCGGGCAGTATTGCCCCATTCCAGTCTGTGGGGTGTCAGGAGCGGGCAGTATTGCCAGTATTCCATTCCTATGGGGTGCCAGGAGCGGGCAGTATTGCCCATATTGTTCCAGTCTGTGGGGTATCAGGAGCGGGCAGTATTGCCCGTATTGTTCCATTCCTATGGGGTGGCTGGAGAGGGCAGTATTGCCCGTATTGTTCCAGTCTGTGGGGTGTCGTTGTCCTGTTCCATTCTATGGGGTGGCGGGAGAGGGCAGTGTTGTACCGTATTGCCCCATTCCTATGGGGTGGCGGGAGAGGGCAGCGGTGTACCGTATTGCCCCATTCCTATGGGGTGGCGGGAGAGGGCAGCGTTGTATCGTATTGCCCCATTCCTATGGGGTGTCGGGAGAGGGCAGCGGTGTACCGTATTGTCCCATTCCAGTCTATGGGGGTGCCGTTGTCCCATACCAGTCTATGGGGGTGCCGTTGTCCCATACCAGTCTTTGGGGTGGCGGGAGAGTGCAGCGGTGTACCGTATTGTCCCATTTCAGTTTCATTGCTATCGCCCACTGTAGATCCAGCCATGTCGGCCATGTTTGATTTTGTTCTGTCATAGTAAGCCATGTCATTCATTCCACAGTTTGCAACTCCATCCAGTGCCTCGGGGGCACAGAGGGTGCTGAGGAAAGAGCTGTGCCAATCAGCCACCAGCTCCGCTGCAGGAGGAGGTAAGCTGCATCCAATGAACACTGCTCGGTTCTGGTCACATGTTTTCCATTGTTGCATGCTGGCCAATCGGGTTGGATGTCTTTATCCAAAATGGCAGCCCTGACACTACTTTCATGACCTAGTTATATACTGTAGGTTGTATATGGACACCATATAATCAATGTATATAATCAATCGAGTTCTGTCACTAGAAAAAAATAAATACATTGGAATCCTGACTTTAAAGTAGAACGGAAACCAAAGTAAGGGAGGGTTATGAACCTTGAAAGTTGGTTTGTCATCTGTGTCCCTTTGGGGAGATATCCCTTCACTTCCTGTCCGATAGCCACAACAGGAAGTGAAAGGAAATCCCTGGTGGCCAGCAGGGTCACCAGAACTAGTGTCCCCATTGGACAATCCCAGTTCCATCTATTCCTGTTCTGGTGACAACCCCAAATTTTGGGATTTATTTTGGGACCCATGGTAAGGAGTGTTCAGATGAGGACAGCCGGACTTGTTTAAGGCAATGGGGAGTCCATAGCTAGTGGTGGTGTATACAGAGATCTTGGCTCTATGGACTGATGGACGGCTACAATAGGGTCCACTCCTGTTGGTGAAGCACTGAGTACAATGGGTTTGAGGTGGGCAGAACCTCCTCCAAACTGGACAATTGAAGGCTGAAATAAAAGTTGGTGGGCCAGAGGGGATCAGAAGATCTCAATCCATTTCCTCACTTGAGATGGAACCAAACTGTACACTGCCATGGAATGGCCTCGCCCAGGAACCCTGGGAGGGAGC